AAATGCCATAAACGACGATATAACGGTTAAGTCGATATAATCGCTTGTTATGGCGATACGAAGAGAAAAAGAAGAAAAAGGAAAGAAGATGGAGAGAAGAAGAAAAAGAAGGAGAAGAGAAAGAGAAAAAGAAAAGAAATCAAAAAATTTTAACCAATCCGCGTGAGGTGGGAAAATTCTTTTCTCCTCTCTCTCTCTCTCTTTCTCTCTAAATTTTCCAAGTTTTTCTCACTTTTTTCTTACGTCTTTCGCCACCTTCACCACCACCACCATCACCACGTTTGTCTCCCACTTCCTCTCTCTCTCTCTCTCTCTTGCACGCCACTTTCTTCACTTTTCTTTTCTTTTTTTTTTTTCTTCTTCTTCTATAACTTTTTTCACAGAGTCGTTAAGGGTTAAAGACTTTTTATCAAGGAATTTCCAGTCGCGTTGTAAAGTTTTTCCTTCGTTAATATTTATAATAGTGGTGGCAATAATAATAATAATAATAGTGATATTAATAATAATTATTATAATGATGATGATGATGATGATGATAATTTATGTTTCCATTATCTTATTTAACAAATAAAAAAAAAATTTTTTTTTTTTTTTCGCTTTTAATATGTTTCATTCAACCGGAGTTCGATTATTAGTATTATTATTATTATTTTCATTTAAAAAAAAAAAAAAGAAAAAATGAGAAAGTGTGTGTGAGAGAGAGACAGAGAGAGATAGAAGGAAAATTATTCGTACTTTTGAATGAGAATGTAAATTGATGTAAATATAGGCAAAAAAAAAAAAGAAAAAAAATTTTTTTTAATTTTTTTTTTCCGTTTGTTACGTCATTTCCGCCCGCCCGCCCGCCATTCCATCCTGGAATGATTGATGAATGTGAAAAATTTGTCGTCGCTCCCGGAGGAAAAATTATTATTAATATTAATATTATTATTTATGAATGTTTTATAGATAAATAATAATTGTCGACGAATGAATGAATGAATGGATGGATGGATGGATTTTTTTTTACGTAATTGTTTTTCCGGTTTCCAGAATCGTCATCGTTTTTCTCCAGGTTTTCCCTTTTTTTTTTTGTTAAATAGAATGTAAATGGAGCTCCAGAATGAATTTTTCGTTTCGCAGAAGGATTTTTATTTAAAATTTCCTTATTCGTTTTTTGTTTTGCGTGTCGCGAGTTGATATATCGTACATCACTTACTTCCACCGTCTGGAATTTTCCAGAATTTTCTTCTTTAATTTAAATCAGGGCGACAAATCAAAAAATAGTAATTAAAATTTTGGGCGAAATAAGAAAAGGCGGGAGAATAAGAAAAAAAGATGAAGAAGGAAAAAAAAAATTATTTTCTCTCTCTCTCTCTCTCTCTCTCTCTCTCTGGCAATTTGTCTTTTCCGTTTTTCCAGAATTTTTTTCTTCTTCTTTCGAACGTTGGATTTTTTTTTTCTTCACGGCGAAAAAAAAAGTAAATCTTAAAATGATTTGCATAATTTAAAACGATATAAAACAAAATAAAAACAAAACTCTCTGGTTTATAATTATGGATTCAAATTGTTCACTGTTTACTGTAGTATATTTTATATGGGAAGAAAAAGAAGAAAAATAAGAAGAAGAGGAAGAGAAGGAGGAAGAAGAAGTAGAAGAAGAAAAAGTAGAAAAAGAAAAAGAAGAAAGCCTGCACTTTATCTCCAGTGTTAAGCGACTATTTTATTACTTTTGTTTAACTACCTATCTTTGAAATCCTTTTATTTAAACTCCAGACATGTTATTTCGCATTTTAACTTTGGTTTTAATCTTTTTGCGATAACTTGAATATTAAAAAAAAAAACAAAAAGAAAAAAAAACTTGAATTCGAAAGTTATGGGCTGGAGAAGAAGGGGGGAAAATGGGAGGAAATCTTGGAAAATTTAAAAGAGAAAGACCGCGAAATTATTTTTTTTTTTTATATAATTTTCTTCGGTGCGATTTTCCCATTGGTGGTGGTGTTTGAATTTAATAATTATCATTATTATCATCATTATTATTATTATTAAAGTTTCCAACAGGAAACTTCCGGTTGTTGGTTTTTTTTTACCGGAGAAAAGTCGAGTCGAAGGTTGTAGAAACGGTTGCATTGTTCAAATCGAATTTTCCACTTTTTGATGTTTTTCAATTTCGCGTTTGTGACTGTTTCTCTCTCTCTCTCTCTCTCTCTCTCTAACTCTCTCTTTCTCTTTCACCTCTCTCTTTCCCTCTCTCTCCTCCCCTTTTTTTAATAAACGGATTTAAATAATTAAAATGGTTGAACGTTTCATAATTAAAACGGTATGGTAGTAGGTATATATTTATATATATTGATGAAAAACGATCCGAGGTTCGTCGTTTATTTTGTGAAACAATCTTAAAATGAACGTTTGGCCGTTTGTTTTGTTTGTTTGTTTGTTCGTTTGTTACATCCGTGATGAGAATTTCGTTTTGCGTTTGTGTGTGTGTGTGTGGGACGTGTCAACCGTTAATAATTATTTTCCTCCTCGACAAAATCAACATAAATTTTTGCAGTCAGGTTATATTTTTTATTTGGACTTTTTTTTTTTTCCTTCTTTTAATTTTATGTGTTGCATTCGTTATTATTATCATCATCATTATTATTATTATTATTATCATCATTACGATTTAAAGCGAAAATTAAAGCGTGTCCGGAAGGGGTAAATTTTTATCGTGGAAAAAGTAAAATGTTGATAAATCGATTCGAGAAATGATTTTTTTTTAAAATTCTTATTACACGATGGTTTTTTTTCTCCTTATTAATTAATTAATTTATTTGTTTGTCGTTTGTTCGTTTGTTTGTTTGTTTAATTTTATTTTTAATCGGATAAACATTTTAATAATTAAATACCCTTCTTCTTTTTTTTTTTTTTAGAAAAAACTCGAAACTTATCTTTTTAAAATATTCTTTCTATTAAGTTTTTTTTTTTTTTTCTTACTGGAAAAGTTTCAAGTTTTTCTTTTTCTTTTCCTTCTTTTCCTTCTTCTTTTTCTTTTTTCACCTTTGTTTTTTTTTCGTAACAAATTAAAAGGATCGCGAATCGAATGTGAAAAAGAAAATAAGAAGGAAAAAAAAGAAAATTTTTTTACGGACGAACGATCGATATTTATGATAATAATAATAATAAAACGGGGAAAAGGAAAATTAATTGTGCGAAAGGACGTTGGAGGGGGAGGGAAAGGGGGAGAGGTTGATTTAGCGATGGTGGGAGTACCGAAGACACCGAGGAAAGTCGATGCAGGTGACGGTTTTCGCGTTTTCCGATTACCAAAGATGAATTTTTATTAAAATAAGGGATAAAGGTGTTTTATTATTATTATCATCATCATCATCATTAATATATATATATGTATATTTTTATTATTAAATAAGCCATTAAAAAATAAAAATAAAGGGAAGGAAAGATGATGAAGAAGAAGAAGAGAAGGAATAATGGGACATCTTAATGGTTTTTTTTTTTTTTGAATGTTTTCAATAATTTATAATAGATTCATTTAAATTAAGCAATATACCGGGGATTATATTTCCAGAAGTTTCTTTTTCTTCTCCTTCCCCCACCCCCACCCCCTCTCTCTCTCTCATATTTTCTTTTTTTTTTTTATTTCTCGGAAAAGATTTGTTTCGTGCCGAGCAATCGATAATATTTATATATTTTTATTAATAAAAATAAAGGGAGAGGAGGAAAAGGAGGAGGAGGAAAAAGAAGAAGAAAAAAAATAATGATGATGATGATGATGATGATGATAATGTTAGAAACATGGTTTGATTTTTAGTCGTTTCCGGTAGTAAAATAAATTCCGATTAAAATAACCCGAAGAAGAAGAAGAAGATGAAGAAAATGAGAAAGAAGGCTGTTTTTTTTTTTTTTGGTGAGCTGAGGGGTGGTGAGCGGGGGAGGTGGTAGTGGTAAGGGTTTGGTTTTTATTCTTATCGAGATTGGGGAGGGAGGGAGGGTGGTACAAAATCGAAATGAAATCTAAAATTTAAACAATAATTTATAATTTAGAATTGTAATTTGCGTTTCGAATCTGAGGGTGGTCGAAAAGTACGCGAACCCCCTCCCCCTCTCCCCATTTTCCCGCCGCATTTCTCTTTTGAAAATGAAAGGAAAAACGTCGTCCTCCGTTTTTCGCCGCCATTTCTTTTAAAAACACGAGAAAGAAAGTTTTTTAATTGTTTCGAGAAAAAAAAAAAACTTGGAGTTTTCTTAAAGAATTAAAATACATTTTTCAACTTTTCTTCGAAAAATTAATTTTAAAAAAAGAGAGAGAGAGAGAAAGAGGGAGGAGGGGGGAAGAAAAGAAAACGAAACGAAATAAATAAATAAATAAAACGAAATTATAAAAAAAATATTTATGGCGGGTTTTTACCCGCTCAAACGGAAAAACATTCGTTCCGCCATTTTTTTTTTTTACTCTATAGATTGATTGTGAATTTTTTTGTTATCATCGTACCTTCGAACCTTTCGAAGGTGGTTGTAGTATGGCACCAACGATTTTTTTCATCAGTCGATGATGGATAGGTGAAGGATTTGAGGATTTCCGGTGAACGGATGATGTTTGACGTGATTTTTCCATTCGAGTATAAAGAAAATCTTTCGTTTCCGTTTTTTTTTTAACGTGCACGAAGAATAAAAAGAAGAAGGAGAAGAAGAAGAAGAAGAAAAAGAAGAAAATTTTTTTATTTTGAATTCAATTTTCTAGACAAAGCTTCTTAACGATATTGAAAATTTATCAAAGGAATTATAATACGCAGTTTTGCCGGTCGGTTGCCTTTCTTTTCCTCTTTTTTTTTTCTTCCTTTCCCCTTGCGCTTTCTCTCTCTCTCTGTCTTTCCGACTACCCATCAATTCATTCATTCATTCATTCATCCATTCTAGCTTTTCTTAAAGGTTACTTACTCTGTGATTTTGTCTCTTTTTTCTCTCTCTCCAGAGGAAAGGTGAGGAGATAGAGAGAGAGAGAGAGAGAGAGAGAGAAAATGGGAGTAGGAGGAGTAGAGGAGAAAAATCCCTTTCCAGTTTTTTTCATTTTTTTTCTCTCTCTCTCTGGAAAACTCAAACCAAAGGAGCCAGTTAATTTATAAAAAATGACGGCAATTTTTTACTTTATCTTAAAAAAAAAAATGGTAATGGGAAATTAGGGTTTGATTTTTTATTATCCTTATTCAAAACAATTTTTCTTTTTTTTTTCTCTTCTTATTTTTCTCCCCCCCCCCTCTTCCCCCTTCCTATTCTCCTTCCTCCCCTCCTCCTCATCCTCTCCGCATCTTATTTTTCTTATTATTATTTTCCTTTGATTTTTATTATTATTATTATTATTTATTTATTATTACTTTTTTTTTTCATTTCGTTCTCTTTCATTAATATTATTATTATTATTATTATTATTATTATTATTAGTCTCTGAACTCCGTTTCGCGTGTATATAACAATTTACATTTTCTTTTCAAAGTGATTTTTTTTCCTTTTTTTGTCTCTCTCTCTTTCTCTCTTTCTTTCTCATTTGCGTCAGCGAATCGAATCAAAAAAAAAAAAAAAAAGTTTTTTCGTTGTTGTTTTCCCCGGATTTGTAGGGTTCATCGTCGCGTCCATATTAATTTAATTATTTAATAAAATATTGAATTGAAAATGATGTAATTTTTAATCATCATCATCATCATCGCCATCGCGAATGGGAAATCCATTTTCATCAGATTGGAAAGAGAGGAAGAGAGAAAGAGAGAGAGTGAGAGAGATTTATTCAAGATTAAAACTGTTTAATATTATTTTAAACTTGGTTTAAGATTCAGAATATTTAAGCGCCTTTGAATAAATCAGGATATTATTATTTAAATTTTTGGAAAACCCACCGTACCGGGTGGGAAAAAAAGGGCAGTGCGAAAACGGTGGTGGTGGTAGGGGTGGGGACGGTGGCGACGGTAAAAGAAACGAAAGAAAGAAGGAAGGAAGGAAGGATGGAAGAAAGGCAGGTGGTAAGGGGTTGTTGTTTTTTTTCGCAATCTGGGGAGGAGGTGGTGGTGAGAGGTATAGGGGGGGTCGACGAGAATTTTTTTTTTTTTTTAATATCCAAACCAGGTGTTTCGACTTTAAAATAATTTTTTCCATATTTTTTTTTTTTCTTGCTGTTGTTTCGAAGTCACTTTTGAAAATTTATTTTCATTTTTTTATTTATTTATTTATTTTTTTTGTTTTGTGCAGGAATTGTACCCAACGGAGCCTCCGGTATTCGACGTTCATTTTATTCGATTGAACGCGACCGTGACGAAGGCGGTTTTATGGGGTCCGAACGGTGTCATGGTCATGCATATTCCAAAACGTTGGGGACCCTACGGAGGATTTCAAGGTGAAAAATGTAAAATTTTGACGAGGTGAGTGTGAAATTTTGCTTTCTCTCTCTCTCTCTCTCTCTCTTTGACTCATTCTATCCATCCATCCATCCATCTTTGTTTTTTTTCCCGAAAGTAATTTTCTTCGATTTAAAACGTGGAAAAACAAAAAGAGAGAAAAATGAAAAGTTTGAATCGTTTTTACATTTTTTTCCTTTTTTTTTTCTTACGGAAAATCCGGGAAAACTTTTTATTTTCAATTTTTTTTTTTTTTTTTAATCTCGAATCAAAATTATTAAGGGAAAGGAAAAATTTTTATGAATTTTTTTCTTTTTCTTTTTTTTCCATTCGTTTTGTTAATCTTTGACTACTCTCCATTAGGGATGATGATGATGATAATGATGATGATGTTGTGTATGGTTCGAACAAGTCATTAAGGACATCAGAATGGTGGCGGGGGTGAGAGCGGGAAGCGAGGGGGGGCGAGGGGGTTGTAAAAACTTCCTCGGCGTAAACATTTTCTTCGTGCACCCACTCATTTGTGAGTTGATTTAAAGCTTTTTAGATTGTTGAACGTTGGTTTTCTTTTCCCCTCTCTCTCTCTCTCTCTCTTTCCCCCCTGTCTCCTCCTCTCTTCGTTTTTTTTTTTTTTTTACTTCTTATTAATTTTCATCGTCGTTGATTTCCCATTTGTTTTTCTTTTTCCTTACGGAGGAGAAAAAAAAACAGTTGTCGAATCGATTATCGATTATCGAATCTCAATATCGTTTGAATGGTTGAGGGGGGGAAGAAGGAGGAAGGAAATCACCAAAAAAAAAATGGTAACGTTAATTAATGACGTCATCAAATGATAATAATATCAAATCGTTTTCGTTTGTCGTTTTTTTCACGGTGTGCCTTTCGTATTCTTTTTTTCTTTTTTTTTCCTTTTTTTCCTTTTTTTTTTTTGTTTCTGTTTCCACGACAGAATACATTTTGCCGAAATTAATTTGGTTTCTAATTAATTTTTCTTTTTTTTTTGGTCTTGGCCGAGTCGATTCTCTCCCGACACGTTTTTTTTTATACAGGCAAAAGTAGTTAGAGAGAGTGAGTCGTCTTTTGTCTTTTTTAATTTAAACGATTCACTTCACATTTACAAAATTTTCTCATGTGGAGTTTTATTTTCTCATTAGGGTTCTTCTAACCTTAGACCCACAAAAAAAAAGGAAAAAAAAGGGAGGGAAAAGAGGGGAAGGGAAAAAAAGGAAAAAAAAAAGTTTTTTTTCTCATTTAATTCTTTTTTTTATTTGAGAACCGGCACGAATTAAATACGAAGGTTGTGTGTTTGCGTCGTCGTCGTCGTCGTCGTTCTCGTCGTCGTCTTTAGAGACTCTAAAAAAAAAAAAGGGACGCTAATTAAAAAGGACATGACCGATTTCAACCCTTTACTACCACATGGCCACGGCAAAAGAATTTAAATCTTCTTACACAGAGACATTATCTTTATTTTATAATTAAGGGTTCAAGTCATTATTCTTTTTTTTTTTCCTTTTTTTTTCTCTCTTTTTTTTTTTAATTATTATTATCATCATCATCATTATTATTATTATTATAACGACGTTAGGTTCCATTTTTCTTTTTTTTTTAAATATGCACACACACACACGCATAAATACGCGGCGCCGTTGTTCTTGTTGTTTATATATGCTTTGTATCTTTTTTTTTTATTTGAATCCTTTGAGAATTTGTGCTTTTTCTCTCTCTCTCTCTCACTCACTCTCACAAAGGTGTTTTTTTTGAGGGAAGGGAGGGGGAAGGGGTTCCCCGCGTGAGAGTAATACGGAATGTGTGTGTGAGTGCGTGGCAAGGAAAGGGATAAGGAACATTTGTGGGTTTTTTTTTTTTTTTCCTAATCAATTAGAGCATTACGGTAATTGCTTGAATCAAAAATATTATTATTCGGATTTTGTTTTTTAAATCTAAATGAGTTTCCTGCGGTTTTTTTTTTTTTTTTTTTAAATGCCGCCATTAGGATTTTAATAATATTTCTTTTCTTTTTTTTTTTTTTTATTTTATTTTTTCCTTTTTACTGCGGTTATTAATATTATTATTATTATTATTATTACTCTTGTTATTATTATTAATAATAAATTTTTCATTTTATTCTATTCAATTTCACGGTGTTTTGAAATTAATAATAATAATAATAATTCATTCGAAAGGTTTGTGTGTGTGTGTTTCATTTTCTAACTACTACTACCTCCACTACTACTGCTGCTGCTGCTGCTGCATTGTCAAGTGTCAAATGCAAATTATAAATCTTTAAATTTTTGAGAAGGAGAAAGAGGGAGAGGGAGAGAGGGAAAAAGAGAGAAAGAAGTGATTCGTGATTACCCACGGAGATTACCGGGATAAAAAAGAAAGAAAGAGAGAGAGAGAGAAAAGTTGAATAATCAAGTTCAAGAAGTTATCAGTTAAAAGTAAAATTAATAAAATTTTATTATTATTATTATTATTATTATTATTATTATTATTATTATTATTATTATTATTATTATTACAAGTTATGTTTTTAGTAGTATTTTTCTCTCTCTTTTCTTTTTTCTTTTTTCTCTCTCTTTTCTTTTTCTGTTTCTTTTTTTTGATAAATGTCTTAAAATTAAATGGGGGTTTTTCGAGTTATGGAAAAATCATCAGCGTGACAGGAGCGGATTCAATGAATTAACACTTATTTTATCGGTAAAAAAAAAAAAAATTCTTTCGAAATCATTTTTCTTTCGTTTTCGAATCCCCACCCTCCCTCTTTCCCCTCCTCCTCCTCCTTCCCACCTTCATCTTTCCGATGTTTTTTTCTTCCTCCTTCTCCTCCTTCTTCATCCCGATTTCGCCTCACCTTTTCTCATTTTCATTTATTTTTTTTATATTTTTTTCTATTTAATTTTAAAAAGTTGTCTGATGAATTTTAAATTTATGAAATTTTATTATTAGCAATAATGTTGATGATAATAATAATAATAATAATAATAATAATAATAATAATAAGCAAACGATTCGTCGTTTTTGTCGTCGTCGTCGTCATTTTTCTTAAAGGAACGTGATTAAATTGTCTTGTAATTTTTTTTTTTTTTTTTTCGTAATATTTGTTCGAGTTAAAAAATCACGGTGCTTGGGGGGAACACGGGGGGGGTGGTGGTGGTGGTAAAGGTGGCAAAAGCGAGGCGGGAGAACGAACGAACGAACGAACGAACGTTTCAATTATTTATTATCATCATCATCATCACTTGCTGGAGAAAGTCGACGTGTTTTTTTTTCTCTTTCTCTCTCCATCCGAAGATTTACGTGAATTTTTTTTTTTTTTTTTTTTGTTCAGAATCAGCAATAAATACGATTTTTTTTTTTTTTTTGGCTTTCGGGTAAAAATACCTGCCAAAAGATGTTTTTTTTTTTTAATGGGGGGAGGGGGAGTTTTCCTGTCGAGATAAAAAAAAAAGAAAAAAGGAAAAAAAAAAAAAAGTTAACGATAAAATAAAAGATTGGTCGGTTAAATAACTGGAGCGACTTCTTTTTTATTAATGCCGTGTTTCTTGACTGGAAGAGATTAAGCTGACGGAAAAACCTTAGCTGAGAGAGGAACAGCAGCAGAAGCAGCAACAACAGCAGCATTCCGATGCCGCATTCGTAACCGCCACCCCCGCAATAACCTGAACCCTTTTTCCTTTTTTTTCCCTCCTCCTCTCGTTCTTTTTCTCTCGAAAAAAAATTTTTTTTCTTCCTTATCTCTCTCTCTCTTTCTTTTGGTTTTCATCTTTTTTTTTCGTTTGTTTTTGTTTTTGCCCGACTGATACTTTCCTCACGTAAAACGTAATCATAATTAATTATTAATAAGAAATTTCAAAAGGGTAAAAAAATATTTTTTATTTTAATTTTTTTGCCGTCGTTTTAAAAAAGGCGGTAAAGTGCTCCCCTACTCCCACACACCCCCGAAAAAAAAAATAAAAAAAAACTTTTTAAACGAGTTTATGCTTGCGTAAGAGCGCGTGCATGTGGACACAGGAAAAAAAAGAAAAAAGGTTTTGCCTGCTTTGTAAACAGGTGAAACGTTTTTTTTTTATTTCGGAGGAGGTGGGAGGGGGAAACGCGTGTTTTTTAAACAAATTTAATTTTCTTTGACCAAATATTCATCAAAAGAAAGAAAATGGCGGACGTGAGGGGTAATGGGAGAGGGGAAAAAAAGAACGCGGTTCCTTTTTTTTTTTTAAACACGTCGAAACAATTACTCGATGACGAAGGAAACCCGGTGGTTTTTTTTTTCTTTTAATATTATTTTCGGCGAAGGTTATTATTCTAGCCTTTTCTACGTTACCACCACCGCCACCCCCCGCCGACGTCGCATCTTGAAATTAAATGTAAAAAAAAAAAAAATTATTATTATTTTCACTAAGTCGTAAAACTAATTAAGACATCCCTTATTAGAATTCTAAATATCCGGTTATAAAAAATTTAAAAATGTCGGAGAGATTTGTGAAACATGGACTTTAAAGGTCATCATTACGGTTTTAGAATACGAAATTAAATTATTTTTAAAAAGCTCGCACGCACGCACGCACACACACACACGCGCGTGCACACGCACACCCGCACACACGCGAGTCGGATGACGACGATGAATTCCAAGCATGTAACAAGTCTCGAACACGGTCGGAAGATTTAATTTGTTTTTATTTTTTTTTTCGGGGGGAGGGTAAGGAGGGGGTGAAATTTTTTATGAAGATGCATTATGGGGGGGGACAATTTTTTTTGTACCTGTCCCGAGTCGCTTTTCTCCCCTCCATTCTTCCGCTTTTTTCCGTCCTTTCTCATTCCATTTATTTTTTCAACGTTTTCCGGTGTCGTGTGTGCCCGGGGGGACGGGGTGTTTATCCAAAAAAAAAAAAAAAAAATTAATATTAATTTTGATGTTGTTAAATGAATAACGTGGCCGGTCACAACATGGAATTTCATCCCGGATAAGGTTTTATTTGCTTAAAAAAAAAAAAAAAACGTGTCACTAGTTATTTTATTAACGTGAATTGTTTTGTATGAGATTAAGATGGCTCTGAAAGAGAGAGAGAGAGAAAGAGAGGCGGAAAGTGGGAGGGGGGAAACAAGAGAGTAAGCACGTTTTTTTATTTTCTTTTTCCACCGGGTGCGGTTAACGTTTTAAATGATGATAATAATAATAATTATTATTATTACTTTTGCTCGTAGGTGGTTGATTAACATAATGAGACTTGATGATATCATTTCGGTGGTAAATTTTCAATGGGTAATAATTAAAATTGCCATTTTGACGATCGATTGAAGCCTTTTTTCTGTTCGGTTTCTAAAGAAATAAAACCGGAAACGATTGGATTCGAAAGCGGAAATTAGAGTTTACGAGTTTTCCGTAGGATTGTTGTGTCCGGTTGCTTTCGAATTGCTGTCATACGTTGAGTTTTAAATTTAAAAAAATTTTCGCGCCATTAAAATCAGACAAGTTAAATAAACAAACAAACGAAAAAAAGGGGGGGTACCCGGGTAAAAAATATGTTTTTTTTTTAATTAGATAAAACGAAAAGGAAAAATTTCCCCCCCCCCTCAATATCAAATTCGAATTAGATTTAATTTCTTTTTCGATAACTTTTTTTGAGGGTGTCGTCGTCACCCTTTCTCTAAAAATTTAAAAAAATTGTTTTTATCAATGTAGGCAGCGATAGAAAAGAGAGAGAGAGAGAGAGAGAGAAAAACAGAAGGTCGGATACAGGTGAGGGGGAGAAGGGGGGTTGGAAAACACTCGGATTCGTGAATTTTTTTTCATTCGTGCCATTTTTTTTTTGTTTTTTTTTTTTTATCCGTTACAAAGATTCGCCTCCTCCTCCCTCTCACTCTTTTTCCCCCATTCCCGTTTCTTTCGCTTTTTCGTAAGGGGGGCGAGGGGGAGGAGGGGTAGGGCAAACGAAACAGAAAAGTGTCCGCTGTTTAAATAAATGCGGGCGACCCTTATAAATCGAGGTCCTCAGCTAAATAAATACAGGATTGTGTTTTGTATGTAAATCTTTTAATTTGAGCAGCAGATTCATTAAAGATAATATTCTCTTTTTTTTTTTTTTTTTTTTTAAACTAATTCTCGAATGTGGGCTGTTTCCTGTTTCCTGTTTCCTGTTTTTTTTTGTGTGTTTTGTAAATGGAAAAAAAAGGAGAGAAATAAAGGAAGAAAAAAAAGGTACGAAAAATTCAATTTTTATTTTTATTTTTCATCGATTCCATATCAAATTTTGTCTTATTCATCGATCGATCACATTTGTTCCGCAGTAAAAATTTATTTATTTATTTATTGCCACGTTTTTTTAAATAAGGGATGAAAAAGAAGAAGGGGGTAGTGAAAATGCGGCGTCGGTGATGTATTAAGATTTTGTTTTTGCGGGGGTGTGTGTGTGTGTGCGTGTGTGAGTTAAACGTG